TACATGATGATTTCTTTAAAAAAACACAATTGTCAGCTGAAGTGGGAGGAAGCAGTGAAATGTAGTGATGTTATAAATTATATGGTGCTACCAGGGCTCCAAAAATGTTCAAATATGGTCAAATATTCCTTACATAAAGCCAATATAAGCAATGAAAACCTCCTGATTCTTATTGGTTTTGCTTAACTATCACAAACTTGAACAGTAGTTAAATAAACATAGCAGTGTTGATTTAATTTTGCATCAAATCAATAAACACAGATGCTAAATAACAACTTTTCTTTTTGATAAAAGTACAGCCCATCATCTAACAAGCACACAGTCTCCCTGACTAAAGGAAAGTAATTTAGGATGTACTATTAGAAATGCTCTCCTGCAGCCGGTACATGGACAGAGAAAGGGAAGGGAACAACCTAAGAAAAGACAGGAAGTAAACACTAAAGGGAACAGCAGAAGAAGACAGACAGGAAGTAAACACTAACGGGGACAGCAGAAGAAAAGACAGGAAATACACACTAAAGGGAACAGCAGAAGAAGACAGACAGGAAGTAAACATTAAAGGGGACAGCAGAAGAAAAGACAGGAAGTACACACTAAAGGGAACAGCAGAAGAAGACAGACAGGAATAAACACTAAAGGGAACAGCTGAAGAAGACAGACAGGAAGTACACACTAAAGGGACAGCAGAAGAAAAGACAGGAAGTACACACTAAAGGGAACAGCTGAAGAAGACAGACAGGAAGTACACACTAAAGGGAACAGCTGAAGAAGACAGACAGGAAATAAACACTAAAGGGAACAGCAGAAGGAGAACTCTGTTACACTTGACTCTTGTTATGCCTGGCTTTCTTTGCAGAGTAGATTAAATGCATTACACACATTTTTGCTCCTCTTTCAGCTAATGCTACAATGCAGAAAACGAATAAACTTGAAGGGCACTCTGACTTCCGCCAAAGCCAATTTCAATTAGTGTGCATCTGCTGCCCTTCCACCAAAATACATGAATATCCGGCCAGAAGTTTTTCTGTAATCTTGCTGAAAAAGAGAAAAAGACAGCAACAAAACATAACTTTCTTTGCAGGGGTGATAAAACACCTGAATGCCTCTGGAACGAGAGTTACTGTAAAGTGGAAATTGTAAACACTGTGAACCTTTTTCAATCTTCACACACAAAGACCATATTGCCAGCAAAGTGAAAGTGTCTTTCTTCGCTTTCTTCACAGAATGTATTCATGTCACAGAGCCAAACGCAATCACTAGAGTTACGCACATAAAATAGAAGAAAGTAGACTTGAAGTTGGAAAATTCGCTTTGGACACTGTTTTGATGGTAAAGCGAGATCAGAAATAACCTTTTAGGAAACCTGTCCATTGAGATGGAAATGTGTTCATTTTATGTGATATAAACAACTGATCAATTTGCTTATTTACAGTTAAAAATAAATAGTAATAATAATAATAATAATAATTAATTTACTTCATTTTGTATTTCTTATTTTTCTAGGCATGTTAGGTATGCATGGGATATTATATGATATATATATTATTTTTTTTAATCGGTTGTAGGGCCTATATTAGATATAGAAGGTGACATGGCTCGTCATTCAGTACATTTTCAAAATAACCACCCTTTGCACCAATTGTGGCTTTTACTCTTTGATCATAATTTCACTTTGACTGATATGGACATTGACTTGAGGCCTACTAACTAGAAGGAAAGATTAAGGAAATATGACCAAAGCAACAAAAACTGCATGTCGGGTAGGCAGCAAAATCACCTTCTGAAATTCCTCCGATGTGGTTCAAATCTTTTTCAGAGTTGTGCAGATGGACAGACTTGGAGAATGTTACATACACATGCCTGTTTATCCACACCCTGCTGCCGGTGGGTGCTCCAAGTCATTTGTGTTTTGTTTGTTTCGTATATTTGCAGATAGCTAGAAGAGTTTATGGTTGCAGCTGAGTAGTTACAGACACAAGCTGTGTTTAATGTGAGCTGCTGTTGGCAGTGACACTGTTTATCTTTCTCTCTGTCAGTAATTCCCTTGCTTGGAGTATCTACAAAACTATAGACTGGCAGTTTATAACAATCCTAATCCTCAACTGTAACAGTAAAAACGTTTGAACCGTGGCAATACTTTTCAAATTGTTCCAAACGCCGATTAAAAACAGGCTCAATTTACAATTCCCAAGAAAAATACTATGACACTTTTGTTTTTCTGCAGTTTTCTTGCGTAGGAGGTTTATTTTGCATTTCAAAATGGGCTTCACCCTGTGTGCGTTGTCACTGTCAGCTCCAGGCCATTAGTGAAGGCCCACATAACAACCTGCAGCTGTGCACTAGATTGCTTTTTTGGCCGAAATCGAGGGCACCAATTAAACACGGCTCTGGATGTTGATCACACCTCGGTGAGCCCACCTCTCAGCTGGAAGCTCCACCGCCGCATTTCAATGTGCAGATTGAGTCTGATTCAAACCCACGATGCGAGGAAAACAAGACAAACAGACCGTAGTTTTTTCCCAATATGTTGTTCTCTTTCTGCAACGATGCACAAAGCAGATTTGGCCCCTCATGTTTTCAGCAACATGACAAATACGATTTACAGTGGAATATATGACTAGTAGACTACTGAGATAATACAGTGTCTTGAATCAATAACAGTGCTTGAATAAGAAATTAAATGACTCAGCAATTTAGCACTTCAGGTTCCCTGGTCTCAAAGTCAATTGTTTACTGGATGTATTATTGGCTGTTATCCTGAAATAAGGTCTGTGGTTAACACAAGCTGAAGAGATTATGATATTTTCTGCGACATAAAATATGTCCGACTGGTGAATTTAAAAATTGTGGTTGCTAACAAGTGTCTTAGTCAGACGACTAAACGTCATCACGCCCAACATTAGCCGCCTTTAGCTTAGCGGTTGCGACTTGAAGTCATGTGACCGTGACCGTTCTGTAGTTTCTTTATAGCATTGGGTTTTTCTCAAGGGAACCAAGGAGATGCTTACTTCCGTGTTTGCCTAAAAAGATATGTCATCCCTGCACCACCACTAGTATCTGTACCCCAAATATTGTGCTAAAATAGCTTAGCATAGCATAAAGAATGAGCACATGGGGGAACTGTTAGCCTGGAGGGTTGGAGGTAACAACATCTGCCAAAAAAGTGTGTTTTTATTGCCAGGTGTCTCCTGACCTTGTTCTTTGTTGTTCTAGTTAGTGTATTGTGTGATAGCACTGGAGCCTATGGTTGATATTCATTTCATAGACATCATTCAATATCATTATACGATATATCTTAATAAATGTGAAGAGAATGTATTCATGTAAAATAATCATGTTGATTTTCAAAGCAATAAAACATGTTGTACTAGGTGCACTGCTCTTGTAGTTTATGTTGGTTGTAATGTCAATTCTAATGCTATTTTGTCATATATTTTATTTTCGATGTACATTAAATATAATGCAAGATTTGCTTTACTTCTCACATAAATCTTTGCCGCTTAGAGGAAGACCATCTTTCCTTTTGCTATCCGCTGCTGACCTTCATGACTCCGACCTCGGCCCTCATTTGTTCTCTAGAGGGAGTGATTATGCAGGACACAGAGGTTTGGCAAGACCTTAATGTTAAATGTCCTTAGCAGACATCTCATTGATAGTATAGAGCTTGCCTTAAAAGGAAGCAGATCTTCATTTAATTATGCACATAATCCATTAACCTTGCACCCCCCCACTGTCCGCCCGCAGGCTTTAAGAGTCAAGCCAAACTTTAAAGCTGCTCCTTCTTTAAAGAGTTCAGTAGGAACATGTAATCCATACAGCAGAGGTGAGTGAGAATGAAAGTACTGGATAAACAGATGATGCTAGATAGAACGTTTTAGAAGGAGTTTTCTCTTTTGGGGGTTTTCCCTTTCCTGTAGTGTGTTCATGTTCAGGTGTATATCAGTATGTAGTGTCTCTACTTTAAAGAGTTCTCTCCTGCTGATGTTCAGGTGTATATCAGTAT